CTTTTGCTTTCGAGAAACTCGTTGATTTTCCGTGGTCTTTCCCGTTTTACTAGTGCTATGTACCACTGCCCCCCCCCCTGTTCCCCCACGCACGCCCTCCCTCCTCACTTCACGACGGTTTTTTGGGGAGGAAACTGGAGGCTTCATCGAAAAAATGGTAGAAGAAGTCGTATCAGAGGATACCGAACCAAATCTTGTTCAGATAGGGAAAAATTCTGTAAAATACAGCTCTGAAGGGGAGTCATTTATTGCAAGCTCTCCCAACGCCAAGACGTGTCCTGCCGAAAGTATTTTTTTCGAGCACTTCCAGTCTCTTCCAACTGTCTCTCGAAAGTCCAAGTCAATTATGGTAACACTGCGTAAGGTTTCAAAGTACTTCAAGGGTGGCTTGGGACAAGGGGTGAGGGCATCTTGCACTTTCGCCACTTCCTATCGTCGTGTCAAGCTCAGACAGAGATGTGTGACGTCTTGTGAATACCTGTCAAAGTTTGTAGAGACCTCTTGCCAACTTTTGTAAAGAAAACCTGTCAACCCTTGTAAGGCAATGAACGCGACGACGAGAAGGAGGAAATGCGCAAAATGCCCCCCCCCCTCTCCTTCTTAGCCTGCTCCCAAGAGTGTTTCCCAATCTTTATAACCAATTTATGCCGTGCCACAGAGCCCCGTGCGACCTACCTTTCTCCCCAGCCTTCAAACCTAGTGCCGTGAAATCGTTTTCACCGTCTTTCACCGCGTTCTGGTGTGCAGGTCAGTAGCGAGATGGTTGCCACGGTGCCGCTCGGTCACTGACAGATTACCGATGAGGCGATTACGTAAGCACATACGTCGACGTTGACGTCGACGGAAGGAAGGTCGATTTTACAGTTTTAGCGCATGAGTTCGATTTATGCTTTTCGCGATGGCTAGCGCGTTCGTCCGCATCGTTCGCGGCGGCCGCCGAGCCGAGCCGTTCATCGGTGAAGGACTATCGGACGTTTTTCTATTGTCATCGTCGTTGGTGGGGGGTGTCGTGTCTCCCGTGCCCTCCAACTGAGCGCTCACTTCCTCCCACATTCGTTTCTATCTACGTCTACATCAATCCTTTCCATTCCTCGTTTCATCGGCGTTACGGCGCTCAGTTTTCCGAACCACCACGCGATCGACCTCGACATGTGAAATTGAAATGTCGCCATCACTGTAGGAGATTATGCTAATGGGCTGCGAAATTCGGCTTTGGCCTCGATTTCGGCTTTCGTTCTTACTGAATAGTTATGTGATTGTCATTGACTAAACCTGGGGATCTAAATGTCTGAAAACTTGCCCTCCCATCGTCCATATTTGGTGCTTTACTTTTACTGACTTGTGTACTCTCAGAGGACCTCGCCCTTACAATCCCAACCCCATCAGCCGATTTTCGACATCAAAACTTCCTCCAGCGGCCTGGTTGGGGGAAAACTGGTGGTATGTGGCCTACGCTAGTGATTCTTCCACTTTGGTGCTCCCTTCATTCATGAGAGGTCATCCATCAGGGCAATTGATGCTCGGAGTTCAGGGAAGTAGTAGTGTGAGGGGGATGTAGCAGAGTAGGATTATGAATCGAAGTAGAAAGCCCGGCGAATCCCAGGAACTGAAGCTTTTTATCCCTTTGTCTTTAATGAGCCACATCTAGCACAATAACAGCACGGGCTCCCTCATCACACGCATATTTATTGGGTCAGGCTCTGGTCCCTATGTACCGAGAGGAGTGAGGGGGCAGGGTGGGGAGAGGGGTGTAGAAAGTGGTGGGGGTAGCACTCCCCGCCATGTAGTTTCCTGATAACTACAGTGGCTACAGTCGTGGTTGGATGAGCCGCTTGTTGAGGGGTCGATAGCGCGAAAGGGATAGAATACCGGTTCGGGTAACGTTCAGGGCCAAACTTTCCATCCCCTAAGGCCTGTTTAATAGTGCCAGATTCTTCTGGGAGGGCAAACACTAACTTGTACGTCCACTCCCCACCCCCACCTCACTGTATTGGCCTGGCACGATTGTATTTAGTTTAAGACTTGTCAGCAGAGTAATAAATTTGTGCACGCTCACTATTTTTCAAATTATTTTGGCCTGACACAACTGTAAATCAACCCTATGAACGTTTATGAATTCTGGTTGAAAGTCGTGTCCATGGCGTATCCTGAGGCTGTCACTTTCCCACTTTTCCTTACTTTTTTGCATAAATTGGTTTGCTCTTGACTTTTCAGTAGCCCTTGTAGTCTTTTATAAGTTAAAAAGGATGTAATAAGCGGCATTGGTTGGTAGGTTTGAGATGCGCCATGGACTCAAATTCCATTCAGTATCTCGAAGCTGTTTCAGTGATGTGACCTGCGAGAGTAGTTAGGTAGATTCTGTGGATTCGGAATATACCACGCTATGACAATCGTTGCTGTTGTGCTCTCATTTCCCATTTTTTCGAATTTTCAGTGAATTTTGAAAAAAATATACTTTGAAGAGTCTTACGAAATCGTTTTGACAGTGAGAGTGAGGGTCCCTCCTTTGTTGCGTCAGCGATTTTGAAGTGAACGTCCCAGGTACAATCGCAGTTTCTAAGGTTCGCGCGGGAAAGCAGTCTGTACGAACGCACGCAATGGTTTTGCACGGGCCATTTTCACTGAACGACAATGACCGGAGCGCGATGCGAGTGAGGTTACGGTAGCGTTCGTCAAACCTTTCTTCCCTCTCTGTCTCTGAGTCCTTCACCTTCTCCTCTTCATACACTAACGACACACATGAACGTCGAGTAGTCAGTCGTTCGTTCGAGCTTGGCCTTGACAGGCCGTGAGTGCTAGTTCCTTTCTGCTAATTGGGGAAGACCTTGATCGTCTTTTCGACTGAGGACGAACGCGAAATGCCGAGCGTCGGCGAAAAAACTCACGCTCCACCACGAATCAGATCGAAATCGTTGCTGCAGTTGTGCAATATGGCTGTGAGTAGGAGATTCTATGAAGAGGTAGCATACGCAGGTTGAATGCGGGCGAAGGTTATCGGCCGCGATGGCGGTTGCGGGTTAGAAGCGCTAAAAGCGAAGCGAACCGAATCGTTTCATGTCTCAAGGCTAACTAAATCGGTCAAGGAAGGTCACTCTGAAGGACCATCGCGCTCTCGGACAAGGGGTTCGTTTCAAGTGGAGGATGGCATGTTGAAGGACATTCAATGGCTCTTCTGGGTCTTCCTCCACAATTACTTATCTTAATGAGTTTCGGGGTGAAAAAGAAATAGTTTTGTTAGTTTCGAAGAATTTGGAGGGGGGGGGGGCACTAGAGCTGCAACACGCCGTAGAGGGAAGTGCACATCGAGGACTCCTACCTTTGAATAGGACTAGTTACCTATCTTGATGAGGTTCGAGATGAAAAGAAAAACTTCTGTCAGTTTTGTACGAGTTACGGCAGTGGGGGGGGGGGCGGCAATAGAGCTACACCACGCCGTAGAGGGAAGTGCACTTGAGGACTTCTCCCTTTGTATGACTAGGGCGTTTGAATTGCTGATTCATCGCGAAAGAGCGCTCCCCATTTCTTGATTCAAGTTGGTTTTATTCTTTTGAATATCGATTTTACGCGTTTACGTTTCAGCGGTCCGCTTTGGACGAGTGCCAAAACGCGAAAAAGCGAAAATGGTCGAGGAAATGCAACGAACATCAGCTCAATCACAGCTTGACGCGTTGGCCGTCCAGTTCGAAAACGAGGCAGACGCTATTGAAAGGATCGCGGCGGCGTTCACGTTACTTTGTGGCACGGTTCGTTTCATTTGATTGTTGGGTCGAGACAAAGGAGCGCATGGGTTACCCGCAAGTACCCACACGGGGTAATGTGATTCTTAAAACCAAAATACATTGCTATGGGGCGACGCATTTGTCGCTATTTGTTCCTACGAGAAGCGATGGTTAGGGCTAGGCGATTTAGGGAAGCACTGACCGTTGCATCTTTTACCACCAAGGCAGCACGTGAGATAGATGAGTGGCGGCTGTCGGGCCCCGTGCAGAAGCTAACTGGACTTACCTAAGCGATACATAGGCTTTAAAACTTCCCCGATTTTGGCCTTCTAGAAGGAGGGGCAGCACGCCACTCACTTATCAGAAAATAGTAGTCCTGCTGCACCGCTAATGTGAGGAGGAGGGTGAGTTGTAGTTAGTTGTCACGTGAAGAGCAGGGCAATTCATGGCTTTAGGGGCCCCCAGCGAGCCAGCAAGGGGGAGTTGGTCGTATTTGATCGTCGGAGGGTCATCATCGTCGTTGACGAGGGGGGAGGAGTTCGTAACCAGATAAGGAAATTTTGTTGGGGGACGTAAATCGAGCAGATAATTTTTACAATTGCAGGACAGTGGCCCTGTGGCGGCGAGATCCTTTCAATCTGACTCTTCTTTTCTAACTCCTACCCCCCGCCCCCCACCGTCCCTCCGTATTTTGATGGGAAGGTTTCACCACCAAAATGGTTTCGGACGTCTCCCCCTCCCTTCCAATGCCACCTAGTGCCACGTACTGTTATTCATCCACTTCTTCCTGTTCAAGCCGTTCATTTCGAGTTTGGAGGGATAAACGACTAGCTTTTGAATGCCCCCTCTCTTAAATCGCATAAGTCTTTGTTAGTTTAGGCTCGGCTAGGGCCTCGAAGTAGGTGGTTTTTGACCAGACTGAAACAAGTTGATGTACTGGGGTATGGGACAGAGGTTTTCTGGGCGTTCTCGTGCTCAAAAGGGAAACTGACCCAGGTGCTTGGGTATTTAATGCACTTAGAACCTCTAGAGGAACCTCAATGTTTCACAACCCAAACTACGGGTTCACGCACCACATAGTGCTCATTTTGACGCTGTTGGGCTTGGAAGGGGCAGTTTGCCCTTTTGCGAGTCCATTCTGCCATTTCATGTTGACCAACAGGTCTTATTTTTGTGAGACCCGTGAACCCGGGTAAGTTTGCGAAGGGTATATGTGAGCCACTAATTAGGGACGCGGCCACGCCCACTGCATTATCAGGATAGGGATGCATTGTTTTCATAACTTACTTGGGCATTGCAGAGGCAGCAATTCTCAGGTCAACTTTCATTGTTTCCAGATCGAGTCTTGCATCGTTCCGGTGCCAGCTGGTCGGTGTCCATTGCAGTTTCACTCGTATCTGACGGCAATCAAGGGCGTCGTCGATTTCGCCAACACGATTCCAGGATTTCTCTGCCTCGCGCAATCAGATCGTATTCAACTTCTTAAGGTGGGCAGTTTTACGACCCTATTCCTTGTATATTTTCGATACCATAAAGTACTGTTGTAATCCCTAATAAAATGCGTCGACAAATAGAGAACCACTTAAATACAGAACACAGGACAGACATAGTTTGAGACGGCTTGTCGTTTAAGGTTGTTGGTTGCGTGGAAGCTGTTTAGTGTTTTGAGGAAGAGGAGGGGGGGGGGGAGTACGCTTTCGTCTACTCACTGGGAGTTTTGTGACTCTTCTGGTCTTGAGCACATACTTGCTCTGATTTACA